CAGTGAAAAGATAATTTGTTGATCAGATTCCAGGTCACTATTACTTCCCGGGACAGGACATAATCGTACTGAAAGTAAACAAAACTAAAAGTCACCAGCGGTAATAACAGAGTTTTCGTATCGCTCCCTCTTTTTTGATTCATACTACCATTACTGTAGACGCTACTTGCAACAAGCACTCCTCATTTGTGAAAGTTTATTTCCAGGATCTCCCAGAAACCGCAAGCCTTCTCGAAGTGATCAAAATGGTCAAGCCAACCGCTCTTCTAGGTAAGTTCTCCGTAAATTAGGTGGAGATTGTTGGCTTCCAAAGTTTTGACATGACCTTGCTTTTACTCATGTTTGGCCAGCTTTTCTAGTAACAATGGAATTAGATTCAAAAGCGCGTTCATACTTTGCGCCAGGGTTTTGAGCACTATTGCAATAGGAAAGGAGAGGTATCGATCCAGCGCTAGCGTATGCTAGCGTACGCGCAAAAAGCGGGATCGATGCGTATACCTTCCTAATCGCTTAGAACGCTATCGTACGCTTAGAAGGCTCGAAGCTCTGACTCCAAGTATGAACGGACTGAGAGTGAAACGCAAGTTGTTTATGTGTTCGTTCTTAGGCATCTCGACGGTTGGTGGCGCTTTCACCCCTGAAATTATTCGCGAAATGGCCAACATTAATGCTCGCCCGATCATATTTGCTCTTTCGAATCCTACGATCAAATCTGAGTGTACGGCTGAGGATGCCTATAAACACACCAATGTGAGTCTTTTTTTACAGTTCTTCTCGTCTAATAATTTTTCAGTAAGTCCCCTGCCCTCTTCTGAATGAACTCGTTTAGAATTTTTTTTCCTTCACAAAAATAACCCTGACATTCATGAGTTTCTTTAGGGCACCGTTTTGTTCGCATCTGGATCTCCTTTCGATAATGTGGAGTTGAATGGAAAAGTATACAAACCTGGTCAAGGCAATAACTCGTATATCTTCCCCGGTGTGGCGCTAGGCGCTATTCTCTTCAAGGCAAAGCACATTCCAGAGAAAGCGTTCCTCATTGCAGCCAGAGTACGTTTACCTGAAGTCGTTCTGTTCGTTATTTCACTTCATCCTTTTTTGTACCAGCCGTGTGAAGTTCAAGGCACCCGAGGCTCGGCATCCCGCTAGAACCACACTCCCACTTAGTTGACTCGACATAGCACTTTGGTGTTAATCTAGTCACGCCATGGAGGATAGAGAGCGCGTTGGGGCTCGAGATACCATCGGCCTATCCAAACGCTCGTTTATCCAGGCGATCCAGCCGCAAAGTATGAATTCGCATGACGGATTAGGCGGTGTAATAGGTTTTTTTTTCCATGATCTAGTTGATTTAACGCTAGAGTGCTATTTCAGGCCAGCTAGCTAGGAGTACTAGCTGGTTAGTGCGCGGAGCCGAAGCTTGGGTTTACTGACTGTACCTGTACCGGCCTTATAAGTACATGATGAAATGTCTCATAAGGTCTCCATATTAGCGGCGTATCTAATCAAGGAATGTCGCGCAGATTCGCAGACATTTGAAACAGTTCGAGCAAAAACTCGGATCGAGATTTGACTTCAACCCATTTTGCCTTCATCGTCTGAGCTAGACGCCCACTTATTGACCAAAAAACCAGGTAGCTCCCATTGTATATTGACTATAGAATGTTATTAAGCGAGTTGCTGCATCGGTGACTGAAAAGTCGCTGAACGAATACTCGAGACTTTATCCACGGCTCAAGGATATTCGTGAACTGTCTGTCAACATTGCACTCGATGTGAGTTTAAAGGATCTTTTAGTTTATAATGTTGCTTTTCTCGGTGCTGGGGAACTATTCATGGTTTTCTTTCTTCTACTTTTCAATAAAATTTCAATTTCAGATTGGTAATCATCTCTATGAAAACAATCTTGCCACGCTCCATCCTGAACCGGAGGACAAGGTCTCTTAAACACTTTTCTTTCTTTTGTTCAAACTTCAAGAAGGAAAATAAAATTGGCCGTGGTTTGGCGACGGGAGGGTGGGGGCATTTTGCACTCTCGCTACTTCAGTAGTTCCGGTTCACAAGTCTCACTCTGGTGAAGCCTGGAAACTTGCGGTGGAGCAAGCTCGTCGAGCCACCAGCAAATGGCATTAATTGTATGATATTTCACTGCTGCACAAGGGTTGACAAGTGGTCCCACTCAGGCTGGTATCATTCCATGGCCTAAAGGATGTTTTCACAGATATCCACTTGATGAACTGACACGTTGATGAGAAGGAGCGAAAATGCAAGATCCCCATTCCCCTCCCCCCTCACGTTGCCAAATCGCGCCTAAATCTGTTTTTTCTGACCATCTTCATTTGTAGGAAATGTTCATTCGTCAACAAGTCTATAACTATAATTATGAGCCATCAATCAACGATCTGTACTCGTGGCCCGAAAAGGATGCTCGTCATGGTTTCCCGGTCCCAGTTCTACCTCGTATATCTATGGATGACGAACCATAGTTTAAACAAGTTAATTAGGAAAATTTAGCACAAATTCTGATTTAAATGAGGATTAGTAACAGAGTATTTAATTTTTAATTAATATTGCATGGAAATGTTTATGTTAAGGTATTTAATAAAGATGTTTCACAGAGAAACTGTGTAAGCAGGGGAAGTGTAAAGGAAGGGAATATTGGCTGTAGAAGAGGAACATTCGATAAAGATAAATGATGAGATTGGGGGGGGTGAGGGTCCAGATGAGATTCGCTTGAATCTCTATGGCTAAAAAAGAG